ATGGAAGCTCCTGGTGCCTGAGATCGCTCCATAGCTGGTCAGACAGGAAGAGAACTTTGAGAAATTAATTTCAACAGCATGTTTCACTCAAAAGTATATCTAAAATACTTATGTGATATAGTTAGTTTCTTCTTGTGAGATATTTTAATCTCTCCTTAGTTCTAAGTCTTCAAATCCCAGGCCTGTGTCTACCGTTTTGGTACATGCTAATCTGGACTTTGTTCAGTACAAAGATGTGGCTCTGAGCTGTCTCAGTGGCAGCACAGATCCCAAACTTTGCTCAACTTCCCCACATGTGGTCAGAAGCACAAATATCACATCAGCCATCCTTTAGAAAAAACTCATAAAAGCAGACCCTAATTTGGGTCTTTCTCCTGTGTGTCTTATCCCCATTTTTTTTTTTAAATAGCTGTTGTAGAACTCTCAAGTAGACCAGGCTGACCTCACAGAGGTCCACCGTCTCTGCTTATCAAGTAGTGAGATTAAAGGTATAGCACCATCATGCCTGACTCCTTTTAGTTTTTTAAATAATTTTAAAATTACATTTATTCATTGTATGTGTGTTTGAGTGCCAGGGCCTGTGTGCAGGTTAGAGGACAACCTGTGTGAGGTGATTCTTTTCTTTCACCTTGTGAGATGCAGGGATTAGTAACAGGTTTTCAGACTTGATGGCAAGCACCTGTACCTGCTGAGCCAGTCATCTTGCAGATGACTTGCTTTCGAGCCAAGGTCAAAAAGTGTGATGACGGGCTGCTGGTTCTCATGTGGCAGTGATGTGTAAGCTCCCACAGGCTTTTTAATTTTTTTTAGTAAGGTATCAGATCTAGAGACGGAGTTACAGGTCCTTGTTAGTCACTTGATGTGGGTGCTGGGAACCCAACCCCAGTCCTCTGTACGAGCGGCAAGTGCTCTTAACCACTGAGCCATCTCTCAACTCTTCAGGCTTCTTTCTTAAGGATATTAACGTCATTCAAAAGAGATTTGATCACAACTGGCCAAAGTAGTGTACTCCTATAATCAAGGAGACTCATAATGAGTTTGGACTATCTAGAGCAGTGTTTCTCAACCAGTGGGTTATTATCCCTCTGCAGGAAGAGGTCAAGTGACCCTTTCACAGGGGCTGCCTATTGAAAAAACACATATTTACATTACAGTTCGTAACAGCAGCAAAATCAGTTATGAAGTAGCAACGAAAATAAATTTTATAACTGGAGTCACATGAGGAACTGTATTAAAAGGTTGCAGCATCAGGAAGGTTAAGAAACACTGCTCTTGAGAGTTTGAAACCAGTCTGAATTATGGAGGAGACCCTATTTCAAAAACAAAAAACCAGGAAAAGACCCTTGCCTGCTTTCATTATATAACTAACTCCCCGCAAAGGCTTGCCTTTAAGTACCATCAAACAGTGGTGTAAACGTCAACAGGTTTTTTTTGTAATAATTTTATTAATTTTACGTATATTGCTGCTTTGCATGCATGTCTGCCTGTGTGAAGATGTCTGATCTTGGAGTTACAGATAGTACAGTCGTTAGCTAGCATGTGGGTGCTAGGAACTGAACTGGGGTCCTCTAATAGAGCAGTCAGCACTCTTATCTGCTGAGCCATCTTTCCTGCCCCATCAACATGTGAGTTTATGCAACTTAGGCCAAGCACACTATCAACTGAGCTATTTCTCCAGTTTTTCTTACTTTTCTTTTGAGATAGTGTTTCAGATAGCTGAGGCTGGTCTTGAGCTCCTGATTCTTCTGTCTCCAAATGCTAGGATCACAGGTGTGCACTACATTGCCTAACTCCAGATCCACTTTCTTTGAATTGTGTATGAGTGTTTTCTCTATGTATGTCTGCGCACCATATGCACGCCTGGTGTCCAAGGAGGCTTAAGTAGGTGTTGGATCTGGAGTTACAGACTGTTGTGAGCCACTGTGTAGGTGCTGGGAACTGAACCTGGGTCTCTTAGAAGAGCAGAAAGTACTCTTAACCAATGAGTCATCTCTCTAACACTCTTTTTTTTTAAATTTATTATTTATTATGTATACAATAGTCTATCTGTGTGTATGCCGAAGGCCAGAAGAGGGCACCAGACCTCATTACAGATGGTTGTGAGCCACCATGTGGTTGCTGGGAATTGAACTCAGGACCTTTGGAAGAGCAGGCAATGCTCTTAACCACTGAGCCATCTCTCCAGCCTCTAACACTCTTTTCATTTGGTTTTCCAAGATGAGATTTCTCTATATAACAGCGCTGGCTGTCCTGGAACTCATTCTATAGACCAGGCTGGTCCCAAGGTCACAGAGATCTGAGCAACTCTGCCTGAGTGCTGGGATTGAAGGCGTGCACCACCACAGCCTGGCTCTAACCCCCTTTCTTAAAACAAAAAACCCCGAGAAACCATGATGGGCTAGGAAGATGACACAGTAGGTGAAGTGTAAGTCTGTGAGCCCTGAAACCACATAAAGGTCAAAGGAGAACCAATTCCACAAAGTGGTCCTCTGATTCCCCTCCTACATAACACACACACACCAATACAAGTGTTTATTTTGTGCAGGTACTCATGCACTTCAGTTTCACATCCTCTTTTCCCCATGCTCTTATGAAATTGGCACCAGTTGTTGTTCCCATTTTACCCAGGAAAATAACTGAAGGTTTGAAAAACAAAGTGTCCATGGTTACAATTACAGCTACTTAACACAAAGCTGGGATTTTGAACAGGGTGCTTTTATCATATAACATTCTCAAAACTTACATATGCTGCAAAAAGGGAAAGGTCAACTGCAAGATTCTCTATACTTTGGAATTTGCAATTCTATGATTTCATAATTTGTGCACTAAAGACTTTGTTTACACTTTTTTTTTTTCTTTTTTGTGAGACGACAGGGTTTCCGTAGCTTATGGAGCCTGTCCTGGAACTCACTCTTTAGACCAGACTGGCCTTGAACTCACACCTCCGGTCTCTGCCTCCCTAGTACTGCCATTAAAAGCTTGCACCACCACCATCTGGCATGTTTACACATTGTTGTAAGAGTTCAGTAAAATACAGAAGAAACAGAAAACAAATCAAATCGTCCAGAGAGCTATTTCTAGGACAGCCAGGGCTACACAGAGAAACCCTGTCTCAAAACAAAACTAAAAAAACCTAAGCCCCCAAACAAACAAATAAGCATAAATATTGATTTTGGCCACTTAGCCTTTCTAGTTTACAGTGCACGGATGCACTTAAGTAGGACAGGGACTGACTGGAGGTTTGATTATTTATACATTTCTTGGGGTACATTTTACCAGTGCATGTCTGTTGGATCCTCTAGAAGTGGAGTTAGGATGCTGGGAATAGAACCTGGATCCTCTGGAAGAGTACCGATGCTCTTAACTCATGAGTTATCTCTCTAGCCTCCAATTACTTTTTTTTTTTTTTTGGTTTTTCAAGACAGGGTTTCTCTGTAGCTTTAGAGGTTGTCCTGGAACTAGCTCTTGTAGACCAGGCTGGCCTCGAACTCAGAGATTCACCTACCTCTGCCTCCCAAGTGCTGGGATTAAAGGCGTGCGCCACTACCGCCTGGCTCCAGTTACTTTCAAAAAGGATTTACTCAATGTGTATTCTGCATGTGTGAATATGCCACACGTATGTGAACTCTTGAGAGGTCAGAAGAGGAGAGATCCTCTGGAGCTGGAATTAACAGGTATTTGTGAAACTGTCCGAGGTGGGTGAGAAACAAATCCTCGTTCTCTTGAGGGCCAGTAAGTGAGCCATCTCTCCAACCTTGATTCCTTGGTACTTTATGTTTTGAAACAGGGTCTCACTGTGTAGCACTAGCTGGCCTGGAACTCAAAATCCAGCCTGCCTCTGTCTCCTGAGTGCCGGAATTAAAGGCATACACCATCATACGCGACTACTTTATGTATTTTGAGACAATGCCCTATGTAGCTCAGACTGCTCTTGAATTCGAAATGTACCCAACAATAAACCTTGAGCTGCCTCAGCCACGGCAGCGTTGGGATTAAACCGGGTTCCGAATCCTCAGCTAGTTTTCAAACCAAATCTACTACCCAAATCATCATTAAACTTTTCTTTCCGCGTTCTGTACACTTAAACAGTAATTCACATGACTATGCGACTTCGCAGCCTGAGGTTCGTCATCTTCCCTCGGTTCTACGAACCCTCGCGGTGAAGTTTCTTGCGCTGGCGGAGCGAGGCGGTCGAAGAGCGGGGGTCTAAGGAAACCGACGGGCAGCGTCTGGAGCTCACCACATTCCGGTCGCTAACGTGGCTCTCGGTACTCAGAGGGAAGCGCTGGCCAAGAACGCGGGCGGGGGCCTGAGCTGCGTTCCTCCTCCGGTCCGCTCAAGCCACGTCTTCTCGAAGCACGCACGGACTCGCCGGCGACCTGAGACCGCGTGATGCAACACAAGGGCCGCCAGTCCAGCACACACCTACCCTTCCGGCTCCTTCGACAACAACCTTATTTCCAGACCGCGTTCTCGGCACTTCCGGCCCCTAGGAAGGCCAATCGTCGGTCCTCGTAGCGCAAGACCCGCCCCCTCGCAAGGGAGGACAGCCAATCTAGTCACCTTTTCCGCCTGCGTCGCCTCCAAATGGTTGCACAGTGTCGGCCAATCATTCCCGGGACGTCTTCCTAGTCCCGCCTTAGTCCCGTTACGGAAGCCGTCAGGCCGCCTGCGCCCTTTCACCCCAGGATCGCATTTCCTCCCCGACGTGACGTGAGCGGCCCTTGCCGCTCGGCTGGGCGGGCCAATGGTGGCGGCGGATACGGCGAGCCAATGGGCGGGAGCCTCTCATGCGGCCGGCGCCCGCCGCAGCCACCGCTGGGTCCTGGAGCCAGAGCCCGCCCGCGACAGAGCGCTATGGACCGAGGGCCCCAACCGGGGAGGCGCCGCGGCGGAGTCCGCGGCCAGACGCCCTCACAGTAGCGCCCGTGCGAGCGCCGCTGTCCCGCGTGAGCTCCTGCGCTCCGAGGGCGGACTTGCATCCCGCCGGCCCCGCACTCTCAGCAGCCCCACAGCCCGCGCGCCGCCGCCTTCCCGCCCGGGCCGCGAGGCCCGGGAAACGCGGCCGCGGGCTGCATGGGCAGCGCCCGCGCCCCGCCGCCGTTCTGCCGCGGAACCGCGTCGCCCTCGGAGCCGGGTGAGAGGCGCCGAGGACCTTGGGGGGTGGTGGTCGGGGCGGGCGCCGGGCGTTCCCTCGGCCTTGCGGCCTGCAGGCCTCCTCCGCTGCCCGACTCCGCGGGTGCCCTAAGGCGGGCCGGGCCCCGCGAGATGCTGCTCGGTGGGCCGCGGGGGTCCTGCGAGCGGCCATGAGGGTCTGAGGGCGGGCTCCGAGGCGAGCCTCGGGCCGTCCCAAGGGTTGGCGACCGTGAGGGGCTAAGGGAGGTCCCCGGGGCGGTCCGGGGTGGCTGTGAGGATCGAGGGCGGGCCTGGGTTGAGGGGCGGCGGTGGGTTAGTGGGTCTTGGGAAGCTGCGCGGGCGACGGCGGGCTCCCCGGAGTCCCTGGGGTCTGCAGTGGTGCGGGGCGCCGACCTCTGACCCTCGGGAGGGGCCCCGTCGCCGGGCTGGTGGTAGTTGTTATTCCCAGCGTCCCTATTATTATCGTGTTTTGAAATGGGAGCAGGCGGCCCTCGGGCTGCGAGCCGAGCCAGAGGGGGCGGGCGAACCGGGGACCTGGAGCTGCGGGGTGCGGAGGCGCGCAGGCCCGAGTGGGGGCAGGAATGCGGGGCGGCGGGGGGCGTCTGGGGGAGGGGAAGGCGGGACTGGGGGCGAGTGTGGGAGGAAAGCGGTGTAGGCGACGGCTGCAGAAGCAGCCCTTGGCCTCAAGGAACAATGTGAGACGTTGCTTGAAATGTTAATTTCCGTTCCTCATTTCATCATCCCCTGGCAAGGCGGTAGCTGTGTGTGTGTCTGAGTGTGAGTGCGGGTATGTTCGCGCCCGCGTGTGTGTACGTGTGTGCAGGGTTGGCCTTGCCACATGGATCCAGCCCCCATCACAGACGGATGTGCGGTTCAGTTCCGATGTATGTGGCTTCGTGTGGAGTCTTTTTTTTTTTTTCTTCTTTTTCTTAAGGCCTTGTCTTGACCTGGTGCTCCAGTAGGGTTTTCTGTTTTTGTTGTGTTTCTGGGAAGCTAGTCTAGTAAAGTCGCTTACAGGGGTTTTGGAAGTCTTGCGAAGGTTAATCTGGTCCTCAGGAAAGCTGTATGCTCTGAAGTCTCCTGGTTGCAAGTGTCTAGTGCTCATGTTTCATAGTAGCTTTTGCAGTCCTGGAAGTTTTACATCCACTTGGGAGAACTGTGGAGTTTTACAAATTTTCCGGTAGAAAAATCAGGTTTTGTGCCTATTTGGTGAGCTTCCTGTGATTCTTTCAATGCTGTCCCTAACGTTATATCAGTTGAACAAAAGTGCACCGTTTTTTAACGTAAAAACTTACTCAGGCTATTGGATCTTTAGGGGATGAGAAGACTTACTCAGTAAAACGTGTAGGTGATATGGGTTGTGGAAAAAGCTTTTGAAAGAGTTATTGTGTTATGTGTGTGAGATCCCGGTCAGTGGTGTAACTTGGATAGTTCCACGGGAGTCTCCAAGAATGTTACTTGTTGCCCTGAGACCTTTCTTTACTTGAACTGAAGACCTAGAGTTCTGTTTGTGTCTTTTGAAATGATTGCACAAATGCCCTGATGTCACTTTGCAACTATACTTACACAGAAAAATGCCTTGCTTAACTGTGGTTGTGACCCTTGAATTGGATCTCCATATAGCCGATGTTTCCTCCCCCACTCTCCATTCAGCTGTTGTTCTCCTTTCTGTAGTTTCACGCTTAAGCGCAGGATCTCATGCGATAGGCTGGCCATCCTGAATGGAATGGGATGGGAGGGAACAAAGGCCAAGTTGCTATGACATTTTTCTCTTCTTTGTGCTGCCTCTTGCGTTCCTTGAAAAAAGCAACCCAAAAGATACTGCTAAATTTGGTGATTTCAGGAGTGTTTATTTGTATTTTCCTCTCCTCTCCTTCCTGTGGTAAACAACGAATGACACAATTTACCAGAAGTTCTCTAAAAATGTCACCTAGTTTTGAATTCCTCATTTACAGTTCTAACTTTCTACCAGCCTTCTAACTTGGATTTCTCTGTTACATGCCTTTCTCTAGACTAGCCATGTTAATCATGCTGCTCTATCAGAGCCTTTCATCTCAGTAAACCAGATGGGCTACTCATGACTGGTGGCTGTCATGTTAGCTATAATTATAGTGTTGATTCAGTGACAAGAAGAATTTTCTACAAATAGAGTTAAAGAAACTATGCTGTTTGTACTTAAGAATATTTTTCTAGAAGCTTTGTGTGTGTGCCTTGGATACCTAAGTGGGTTTGACATAGTAAAATTATGTTCATCAAATATAAGAGGAGGGTTATTTTGCATATTGGCAGTGAGCCCATCATCAATTAAATAGTATAATTAGAAAGCATCAGTAAATGCTGGTTCAGAGAATAATCTGCATTTGTTGCCAAAATAAGTGTTTTGATCTGTCCATTACCCCATGTAAGTCCCTTCATCCCTCAAATGGTAAGTGTAATGGATGAGCTTCTCTTAATAGCAAGATATTTGCTAGCTAATAGGTGAAAATGATGATGCATCGCATGTCTGACCGCATGCTGTGACAGTTTATTACTGCTGTGTAGGCAGTGCTCTGAGACTGAACATGGCCCTTGTGATAACTTTAAACAAAAAATCGAATGAACTCAAATAACTAGGAGTTATTGTCTTGAAATGTTTTCAGTATGTGTTCTCATTTGAATTTCAAATGGAATTTCTGTCCAATTCAGCTTTCTCAGTTTTGTCTTAAAGCTATATGAAAGAGAGTGTCAGTCCTCAGCTCCGGAACTTGGGCAGTTGGGTAATTGGCATGGAAAGCCTTTTTAGGCTTAGGAGAGGATCTGCTTTAATGACTCCTTCATTAATTCCTATAGATATTTTTATTTCTAGGTGGCTTGTTTGTTTGATGGATATTTGTGGTATCTTATCTCTTAAGCTAGACTAGAATTCAGCTTTGTATTTAAATGGCTGTTTTGTTATTCTGTATTTTTAAAATTATCATTTAATTATCCTGTTCAGTTTTCCTTGTAGTTAATTTTTAAACACAGTTTTTTTTTTTTTTTTGGACAGTCTCAAGTAGTCCATGCTGTCCTTGAACTTCTTGTGTAGCAGAAGATAACCTTGGAATTCTCTCCTCTTAACCACCACCCAGTGCTAGGATGCTTCAGGCTTGTGCTACCACCCAGGGCTTCCTGAATACTAGGCAAGAGCTATATCAGTAGAGCTATGTACCCTGCCCCCCCCCCCCCCCCCCGATGGAAACTGGGCCGGGGAGAATGATTTTATTTCTATCTTAAATTTATTTTGCATATATATTTGTGTGTACATATGTGTGTACATTGGTGTTTTGCCTTCATGTGTGTCTGTGTGATGTCAGTTCCCCTGGAACTGGAATCATAGACAGCTGCGAGTTGCTATGTGGGTGCTGATTATTGAACCCAGACCCAGCCTGTATCATTTCTGTCATATTTAACACACACAGGGACTGGAGAGCTGGCTCAGTGGTTGAGAGCACTGACTGCTCTTCCAGAAGACCCGGATTCGATTCCCAGCAGCCACATAGCAGCTCACACCTGTCTGTGACTCCAGTTGCAGGGCTTCTGACACCCTTAGACAGACATACATGCAGGCAAGACACTGGTGAACATAAAATAAAAATAAATTATATAAATATGGTAGAACTACAAATACTGTTTTTATGATAAGCATCAAAATGATTATTGTGAGCTGGAGCATGTTTCTAATCCCAGTATGGGGAGGGGGGGGAGTAGGGTCAGGAGAATTAGGAGTTCAGGGTCATTCATGGTTGGCTACATAGCAAGTTACAGATTAGCCTGAGCTACTCAAGATTTTGTCTCAGAAAACCAAAAACCAGGACTGGTGAGATGGCTCATCTGGTAAAGTACTTGCTGCCAAATCTGATGACCTGACTTTGATTTCCCCTACATGGATGAGAGAACTGATGCCCTCAAGTTTTCCTTTGACTTTTGTATGCATCTAATGACACAGGCTCACAAAGTAAAAGAAAAACCCAAACTCTTAAACCCCACTCCACAAAAACAGTAGCAACAACAAAGATACAACCTTGACAAGCTTCTGCCGAGATTCCTGGTCCTGTCACTCTTACGAATGGGTACCACAGGGCAGTGGCGCAGGCCTTTAATCCCAGCACTTTGGAGGCAGAGGCAGGGGGATCTCTGAGTTTGAGGCCAGCCTGGCCTACAAAGTGAGTTCCAGGACAGCCAGGGCTGTTACATAGAGAAACCCTGTCTCAAAAACCAAAAAACAATGGCCTTTTGATTTCTAGATTGTATTTCATACCTTATACTTGGGCTTTGACATACTGATATGCCTTCCTCCTTCCTTGGGTTTTAGTTCAGTATTACTTCCTCATAATAAATTTTTTCCTTTCTCTCTCTCTCTCTCTCTCTCTCTCTCTGTCTCTCTGTCTCTCTCTGTCTCTCTCTGTCTCTCTCTGTCTCTGTCTCTCTCTCTCTCCCTCTCTCTCTCCCTCTCTTCCCTCCCTCCCCCTTTCTCTTTTTGTTAAGACAAGGTCTCCTGTACATCTATTCTAGTCTTAGTGTAGTAGAGACTGACCTTGAATTTCTGATCTTCTTGCTTCTAGAGTACTAGGGTGACTGGTGTGTACTCACTGCCACACCCTGCTTATTCCAAGCGAGGGATTAAGCCCAGGGCATCTTGCAAGCAATGGAAACAGTTTCTTGATTGAACTATAATATATTCCTAGGTCCTCCCAGTCTAGCCCCACCTCTTTTTTTCCCTTGAGACAGGGTTTCTCTGTGTAGCTCTGGCTGTCGTCCTGGAACTCACAGAGATCCTCTGCCTCCCAAGTACTGGAATTAAAGTCGTGTGCTACAACCACCACCCAGCTAGACAGGGTCTGTTTTTAACTGACTATGTAACTGAGGACTATCTTATTTTTTTATTTTTTCATTTTTAAAATTACATTTATTTATTTGTGTGGTATCCAAGGATCCTTGAACCCTGATCCTTCTGTCTCAACCATCTAAGTGGTGAGATATTAGGCCTGGTTGTTACTGAAACTTCTTAATCAGCACTCCCAAGGGAAGTGTACCCCTACTTTGTTACAGACACAAAGAACTTAACACAAATAAAATTTATCAACTATCTTATACTTTGTTTGATGTGTTGTCCCTGTCTTTTTTCTTTCTCCAGAGATAATGTTGTATGCTTTAATAAAGATAAAGATGATCTCACTGGTAACATTGGACCAGCCCTGGGTGTTACAGGAGAGTCATCGAATCGGTTTGACAAATATTTGTGGAATTGTTTAAAGCAACAGTTCTCAAACTGTGGGTCGATACAGGAGTCCAATGACCTTCTCAACCTTCTCACTGGGTTGCTTAAGACAGTCCGAAAACACAGATATTTACATGATTCATAATAGTAGCAAAATTGCAGTTATGAAGTAGCAATGAAAATAACTTCATGGTTAAGAGTCACTGCAACATGAGGATTATTAAAAGATCAATGCAATATTAGGAAGAATGAGAACCACTGGTTTAAAGCCTGTATCTGAATAATTTTGACTGGAGAAATTGATTGACTAGAAATTCTACCATGTGTCGCTTCCCTATTAGTCTTCATTACAAATTTGCCTTTTGGAGTTTAGTTGAAGGTGTGGGACATGGCTTTCACAATTGGTATAGAATAAGAGAAAGACAGGTTATTGTTTTGTGGGAAGAAAATTACTTTCTGTGAAAGAAATTTTAGTGGGATTTACTTTCAGGCAAAAAGAAAAGTCTACAAGAAGTTTTTACTCTGATTTCCACGCCCTTCCTGTTAGGTCCCAGTGTTGTGGTTTGGTGGAGTCTGAGGCTAGGCAGTGTGTATGAAGTTACTGTTGTTGCTCATGGGGAAGAAGTGTTTTACCTGTGGTGAGCACCTTCTCCCTAAAGGCAGCACGAATAATGGTTTACTGTCATAGTGGGGTCCTGTGAAAACTTCAGCCTTCTGTGAGATAAGCTCTTTGGGCCTTGTGTGGTAGTGAACACCTTTAATTCAGCAGGGGAATCTTTGAGTTCTAGGCCAGCCAGAGCTAACAGTGAGGTCTTACTTCAGAACAAGCAAGTAAACACCTCTTTCCCCAAACTTTTTTTGGAGGGAACTATACCAAAGTGGAGTTGCATGTTTTTGTTTTCCCTTGTAGACCTAGGTTTTCTCCCTTTCTTTTTGAGACAGAGTCTCAAAGGCGTGCACCATCATTGCCCAGTAGTTGACTTTTTATTAAGAAAACAAAAACATTAACATTTTGACTATTTACACAATGTTTTTACATTTTAAGGTTACTTAAGATTGCACAAAATATTTCTGCTCTTAAAATTTGAAAAATGAGCCAGCGTTGGTGGCGCATGCCTTTAATCCCAGCACTGGGGAGGCAGAGGCAGGCGGATCTCTGTGAGTTCGAGGCCAACCTGGTCTACAAGAGCTAGTTCCAGGACAGGAACCAAAAGCTACGGAGAAACCCTGTCTCGAAAAATCCAAAAAAAAATAAAAAATTTGAAAAATGATCTTGGGCTGGGGAGTATAGCTTAGTTGTTTGTAGCTTGCCTGGTCTCTCTCTCTCTCTCTCTCTCTCTCTCTCTTAATTAATTTTTTATTTTATGTGTATTGGTGTTTTGCCATGAGCGTTGGGTCCCCTCAAACTGGAATTGCAGACAGTTGTGAGCTGCCATGTGGGTGCTGGGAATTAAACCGGTTTCTCTGAAGAATGGTCAGT